TCTGATCATCCTGAATCGTCCCAGCTGATTGAGCTAATTTTGTACTGATCGGCCAGGACGATATTCCTATCATCCTGGACGATAATGTCGGTTCTTGAAATTCTATTTAAAGGATCTGAATTTTCTCATGCAACAAGACCTTGAGTGCTACTGTCTTGACCTGATAGAGCCTTGGGAGAGGGAGAGAGAGAGAGAGAGGAACTTGTGAGGGGGAGTTTGTGAGAGGGTTCCAATTCTGTGGTGACTTTGGTTTTAATTTTGTGCTTTTACATAAAGAAATTTTTTTAAAATACCAATTCACCCCCTCTTGGTTAGCCTCGGGATAGTTCTTAAGAGCTTAATATCCCTAACGAATTTTCAAGTTCAAGTCGAAATATGACTCTCCTACAACCAGCACAAGCTAACATACAAGCTCTCAATGACACCAAGAGGTCATATATAAGAAACATTGTGTCCCACAAATAATTAAAGGACTGCACTTTCTTATAGATGCATACAATAGTCTACTATGGATGTGGAGCTAGTTTACAAATGAATATAGTAGTTCTTTATAAATATTGAATGACTACAACGAATGTAAATGCCTACGAATTATGAAAGGAGACTTGTTGTACATATGGCATGCTATTTACGGATAAATACAAAAGATCTATAATGATTATTCTGTAATATAGACATAGTAACATATCTGCAAATCAAAGTAGATGATAACACATTATGTGCTGATGATCATAAGCTGATACCAAAGATCCATTCCACATTCAATATGTCAGAATTCAGTAATGCAGTGAAAATGATAAGTTATTGATTCAAGATAGTAGTCACTGATTTTGAAGTGTAAGGCATTGGTAAAGATACAATTATCCAAGGTAGAAGTGTTTGGTTCTTCAAGCCAATAACAGAAAACAAGGAAGACGACATAATTGATAAATCACTTTTTGATTTTTATACGAGTTCTGGAAAGAGAAAGCCAGATCAAATCAAGATTAAGTGAATCTCAATTCAACTATGTTCTGAACATTGAGTTGGATAAGATTATGGAGGCTTGCAAGTTTCTTAATGAACAGTAGTCGCGCATCCAACATATGGTCTGTGTGCAAATATTGAAGTACTACAACAAGTGCAAGCTCCTACGACAAAAAGCAGGAGATTAGTTAGTGCACTAGATCCACCTGCAGAAAGAAACAAGTAGTGCACGACAGTCTACCTGTACAAAGCAGCGAACAAGTCTATTTAGAAGCTGCTACGCCACGCCACCGGATCCGCAACTTCTATGCAAGCGGATAGAAGACGTCTACAAGTACTTTCAAAGTACCCCCACACGTGCACTGTAGTTTTTATACACATAGGTACACAAAAGGGAAAGTGTAATCAAAACCAGCATGTGCCCCGGCGAGCGTGTTATTGGTACACACGTGATGTCTAGGGATGCTGTGCGGGTCAATAAATTTGAACCCGATCTTCCTAAGCAAATAAATATGAGTTGACAATGTTCAAAAAATAATTATAAAAATGCCCCCAAATACCCGCATGGGCCCCAGCGAGCATGTTATTGGTACACACGTGACGTTTAGGGATGCTGCGTGGGTTATTAGATTTGAACCCGATCCTCCTATGCGGATAAATAGGAGTCGACAGGGTTCGATCCATCAAATAAATACACGGTTGTGACGACCGATGTATTTGTTTTAATACATTCATATTATGTCTTTAAGGCCTATAACAATATGAATTCACTAACAAAGGCATAAAGTCTACGAAACCCGATCCCTTATCAGTAAGTTGATAGGGTAGACAAGGTTCAAGCTTAAATGGAAATGACCCCAAACACCCCGATGATGGTCGTGTTGAAGGTTAATCTCAACCGGAGGGGTCCATTCCAAATAATTCAAAATGCCACTCTAATATCTAAAAATCCAAAAATCTCAAAAATCCCTAAAATATTTAAAATTGAAATAAATTCATCAACATTTAAAGTAAATTTCATCCACCCTCCGCAATAGTTTGCCGAGGTGGACAAATTAAAATTTATTTCAGCTCACATAGAGCTAAATGCGTAGTCGAAAATATCACTAGGATACATTCTCAAACAATCTCCTGCCATTAAGGACGTGGTACGTGTCCTCTAATCAGTGGTTTTGCCGCCAAATGGCACCGCAGGATAAACGGTTATGACCCGGGGCCCTCTGAACCGAGTGGTTTTGCCGCCAAATGGCACCACAAAATACCGGTTATGGCCAGAGCCAATTCTCTCCTTAGTGGCATCAAATCCTTGAGATATAAATCAATAGGATATGATCGATATGGCACAAAGCCCTCTGTTAGCTAAGGTGGATCCAAATTTGTCCCCTTAGACAAACATTCAACCCAGGTCTACAAGGTCCCCTTGGACGAAGCAACCCATGGTTGCCGACAAGGATCCTTCTGTCAGGTTGGGTCGACCACCTCCTCTGACTAAGTAGACCAGGGACCATGATGGTCCGGGACGACGGAACCATTGGATATTGATCGGGTCCATCATCCATTCCCCCACCATCCGCTTTAAGCGCAAGATGGTGAAATTTCTGTTTTAAATATCAATCCCTCAATTCTAAAATCCAATCATATGTTGCTACTATATGCCAGATACACGTATTTATACTTATCTATTTGACGACTAGCCCTAATTGAAAGTTCTCTCTCGTGATCGAGAGGGGTAATTAACTATAGGGGCTTGCGCCTATAGGAAACCAGAACTCAGATTATAAAGTCCTCACAAAATGAGGGAGAAATCTTTGGGTAGTGTCTTATCTACAAACCCATCTCCATCCAAAATTTACCCCGGAACATATCCGTTAAAACTTCCACGCCAAAAGAAAAAGCACAACAGCAGCGGGAGGAGGCCGGGGCCAAATTTTCGGAGCCCACAGTCTCAAGCCTGACCAGGTCACATGCCCAATCCTTAGGTCGCACGTTCAAATTTGGCATGTCGGACTAAGTCGCTTAAATTGGAGGCTTTGGCCCTTTTGCGTGAGTTGGGATGGATAGGAGGTTCCGTCCCGCTAGGTCTTCCATCTCATAAGCTCCGTCGCTTCTTGGCTTCTTCGGCAGAGCTCCGTCCGTCCTTAGAGCTCCGTCCCGCTGCGAATAATGTCCTCTCTTTGGCAAAGCTTCGTCTTTGTCTTCATCCATTAGGCTTCATCCGTCCCGCAAGGATCGAGCTTCTCCAACCGCAAGCTTCGTTCAGTAAGACTTCATATTACTATGCTCCGATGGTTTTCTCTTTACTTCGTGTCTCTGATACCATGTCGAAATCAGGAATTTGAGACGGAAAAACCATGCTTTATTACATAATTTCTTCCCTATTTATAGATCTACACCAGATATCTTAATCAAGAAACAAATATTTACAAATTCATGCATAATAGCCCTAATATACTCCTTAAATCAGCTACTTCACTATGGAAAGAAATCAACGTGACTCTGACGTGATTCTTGCGAGCTTCCTAGGGATCATGCTTTGTGGCCGTCTTATCTCCTTCAAGAAGGAACACCTGGGATTTAACAACAAATAATTTGGGATCAACTATATGAATTCTTCCCTCCATTTTGGTTGAGTACTAAATGATGTGCTTGCTCTATATTGCACAAGTATTTTTGTAAAACTTCTTTCCATATTATTTGAAATTTTATTCTTTTTAATTCTTCTACATTAATTTTCTCTGATCTTCTTATTGGCACATTTCTTCCTTGCAGTTCACATGCGCATACCATACATATCATACACCACGCAATATTCAGTAGATAGCTCTCTTACTATACTACTAATACAATCATTTCTTTGCCTCTCCACTTTAATTTTAGCATATATCCATTTAGCATTTTCATTTTCATGCTTAACGTAGCTATCAATGCTTTTTTGCTCTAATGCTAAAAAACAATATAGTGTATCCCATTTATTACAATTTTATGAGATTTACTATTAAGCCTCCATATGCTCTTGTATTCAATAACACTCTTGAGGCAATTCTTTGTTCTTGCACCCTAGTTTAAAAGTTCTTGGTATAGTGGAGTAATCAAGGTGGTTAAACCTACAGGCCTAGGTTTTCTTTAATCTTCTAGTAATGTTGAAGGATTGTTATCAACGATTTGATCTCAAGTTGATTTGACCACAACTCAAAATTAGCTAAAGGTCATTTGATCTGATCTTGAATCAAGCCAAATATGGTTTTAAGTTTTCTTGATCTGATCTTAATTCAAGTTAGGCATGTCTCTTTTACTTCGTTCGAGCTGATTGATGCCAAAATTCGATTTTCAATCTCCCAATATAATTTTCTAGTTCAGCATATATATAGACATTCACTAAAAAATATATAGATTCATATTTATAAATGCATACATAAATGAATTCAGTTATAAGTACATACAAAAATAAATGTGTATGATTTTTTAATACAATATACATTTAAATTCAATCTTGAGCTTGCTGGATTTGCTCATTAGTCGTCTCATTGATTTTTGATCCGATCTAAAGCTGATCTGATTTTTTCTTGTCCTGCGATCTTTGAGTGAAATTCATAGCCTAATTGTATCAAATCCCGTTTCACTAAAATTTAATATAAGAACTCAACATTTCTCGTTGCATGATATTATCTAGGTAGACAAGACAAATGAAATATTAAAGTAGTTTTTGTCATTCTGAGCTGCACGTATCTGTCAACAAGAATGCAATATTGCTTGTAGTTGTCAAAGTTTCAGTTTATTTCTCTTCTTTTTAAACGCAAAATAATGATAGGATGCCAGATAAATAAGCAGGTTTTCCATTGGAGAATCTCAGAAGGCATCTGCTTGGTTTAAGATAAACTTCCATGATTAGGAATCATCAGTGCTTTACAAATTTGCTTGTCTTGTTGAATCGAAGGATATGAAGAATAATGAACCTGAATGTTTTATTTCTTTTAATGTACTTCTAAAATTTATTTCAAGATAATTGACTCTAAGTAATGACTTGGGTTGTGCAGCTGAGCTTTTGACGACAAACAAGTTGTCTGAATTGGCCTGCTTGGCGTTGTATCTCATGTATGAGAAAAAACAAGGGAAGAAATCTTTCTGGTATCCCTTCATCCAGGAACTTGACCGCCAAAGAGGAAGAGGCCAACTAGCAGTGGAGTCACCACTTCTGTGGTCAGAAGATGAGCTCGCATATCTTGATGGTAGCCCTACAAGGGTAATGCTATAAAATAAGCATAGTGCATTTTTAGGATAATATTTAAACTTTCCAAGCATTCTGCATATGGACTGTTTAGTTTGTCTTTTTTTATAGGCTGAAGTCCTTGGGAGAGAGGAAGGGATAAAGAGAGAGTACAATGAGCTCGACACAGTCTGGTTCATGGCTGGTTCATTGTTTAAGGTCATTCCCTTGCTTGAATATGTTTTTCATTCTAGTGCCAGCCTGATCTTAATTGCTTATAGTTTTTTAGATTACTTTTAGTAGCTGTGTTCCTTCTTTTTATTCACATATTCTATCATACTGTGCAGCAATATCCATTTGATATACCGACTGAAGCCTTTTCATTTGAGATCTTCAAGCAGGCTTTTGTGGCAGTTCAGTCATGCGTTGTTCACCTGCAGGTAGTTTATGGCTTTTGATGTCATATGGAGTCTAATATAAGGGTGAATAAAAATTCATGATTATTTTATCAGTTGTTAAATCTTATGGAAAGAAACGTTGAATGTAGATTAACTGTCATTCTTAGTTTGTTATGGCGTCATTAGAGTCACGCAAGATGATCTTTCTAAAACTTTTGAACATTGTTGACCTAGTATTTGTCAAGGGGATCTCATGGACTGTTTGGTATATTCTTAAGAAGTTCATCCGTGTAAATATTGCAGTTTTTTTCTCTGAATAAAACAGTATTTAGAAGGTGTTGCATGATATTTCTTGAGAGAGCCAAAACTTAATCCTGGGTGTCAGTCATAAGAAATTTTGTCACCTTGTGTGTTACCTTGGAATGGTTTGATGGAAGCATTGACTTCATTTAAGTAGCAGTTGATTCTTGTATTACTTTCAAGAACCTTATGTTGTTATGCGGTATAAGGAGCAGATACGTTTGGGAATAGTGTGACTGAGGTGATTTTGCGGAATGCAGATTTCAAGGTTTTGATGGCAATTGGGTTTTATGGTAATGAGGTTGTGACGGGATGAACATGATTTATGTAATGGAAATCTTCAATTATTAGTCCTGGTTATAGTTTATGAAATGATTGGTTTGGGGAATTTAGTTATGGAAATCAAAGAAAGACATCAACAAAAATTATCTAACTTAGCTTGGATACCAAGTCAATTGAGAAGGGAAGAAAAAAAAGAGGAACTCTATGTAGAGGACTTGGTGTGATCCACATATATAACTTAGAATTAAAAAAAAAAATAAAATAAAAAAAAAATTAAGAGAAATAATTTCATTCATCAAATCAATAATTAATTATTAATCTAACCACAAACCATGAAGCCTTGGAGTACCGAATTGTACTGATCAGGTACACATCATTCATGGCAATTCATTTTCATTTCGTTCCGTATTGCCTCAAAGGTCGTATTTGCTCAAAGAGCCACTTCTTGGTACTCCGTCATCAACAATCACAAGCAATATAGCATGAATATGATAGGAAGCTTTCATGTGACACTAAATAACTATTACATGACTATGATAAGATGATTTCAACCATGATAAGATGCTTTCATAAGATATTAAGTAACACTTTCATGATTTGACATAAGAAACATAACTATTTCATGGCTTGATATAAAAACTTTAATAAACAGATATAGTTATAATGAAATGCGCACTTTCCTTAGCCAGTAAAGTCACTTACCTTTGAGAATTCGTGCTTGGAAAGTTTCCCGCACAAGTCCTCGCCTCCTTTCTTAATTTCAACCTAAAGGAAAACAAGAGATTTAAATCTCTACGACTTTATTTAACTCAACATAATGTTTAATTTTTATTTAACTTAATTATGATTTTTGGATTTAATAAATTCTCAAAATTTTGACTTTCCAATTTGGCTAATTTCTTCTTTTAAACATGCCAAAACGTCCCCTTCATCTAATCCATAATTAATATTTAATCATTTTCGGATTTATAATAATTAATAATTAAGAAAAATTATTTTCTTTCAAATGTCCAAATTTAGAGGCTTCCGCAAACCTTTAGAAGCTAAATTAGGGAACATGCAACCTTTAAACATTTGTTTTGGAAAAACCCTAAACCTTTCCAAATTTTTCCACTCAAAAATTTCTAAATAAAAATCAAAATCTTGTTACACTCCTCTATCAAATCCTATAACAATTTAAAACAAAATGAGAAACCCTAATTTTTAGACTTAGTGTTTTTCTTAAAAAATTTTAACATGAAGGATAGGAAATCGTAGGTCAAGACAAGCCCTACTAATTCCCTAAAGAAATTTCTAAAAGAACTCAAACCCTAAAATTTTTTCTTTCAAGAAAACTCAAAAAAAACTTCAATTGCTTGAAGGAATACATAACCTAAGTTTTCCTCTTGCTTTTCCTAAAAATTCTTGCCGGAATCTCACCGGAATCTCGCCGGCCACCGGCTTGGAAGGAGCTCCCGCCGCTTCCCCCTCTCTCCCGTCGCCCTCTCTCTTTGGGTCGGCCGAACAAAACAACAAGGGACCGAAATAATCGGTCCCTTAAGGCTTATGAGGGTTTAGAAATGAAATTTACGCATGTACCCTTGACCTATTCATTTCCCTTTAAAGCTCTTAGGGGTAAAAATGGAAGTTTAGCCAAAATTTACTTAAACAATCTTCGGCAATTTTAATTCTCAAATCGTGCGAAATTAGGTATAAGTTCTTTATACCGTTTCTATTGAAATTTCAAGACGAATTTAATAAAATTTATTTCGTCAAATTCCGACGACATCGAAATTTCACTTAAGTTCATCGCGGCGCATCGATATGCGTGCGACGCACTAAACTGAAAATTTTCAGGTTTTACAAAACCTGATTTATGTAATGGAAATCTTCAGTTATTAGTCCTGGTTATAGTTTATGAAATGATTGGTTTGGGAAATTTAGTTATGGAAATCAAAGAAAGACATCAAAAGAATTATCAAACTTAGCTTGGATACCAAATCAATTGAGAAGGGAAGAAAAAAAAGAGGAACTCTATGTAGAGGACTTGGTGTGATCCACATATATAACTTAGAATAAAAAAAAAAAATAAAATAAAAAAAAAATTAAGAGAAATAATTTCATTCATCAAATCAATAATTAATTATTAATCTAACCACAAACCATGAAGCCTTGTTTATAGAAAAAAAATATAAATATAATACCAAATATTTAGAAATCAATGATCATATTTCAATTCTTATCATATATATTAATTGAAATTTAAATATATAATAATTCCAAAGGATATGTGTTAGATTTAATATATTTAAATCTATTTCACTTAGTTATCTCTTTGTCTTTAATAATATTGGCAGATAATTTCTAATATCTTACCTAATAAAATTACCTATCATATACTTAAATTTTTTTTCTAGTTATTTTAGGCTTCTAAACATTTATTCATTGTTCTAACTTTTTGCCTATCAGCGGATGTCATGCTGAGTAAAACGTGATCATTTGTGAAAAATATATATCATGGCACCTCATTTTGAATATAATTTATAAGCATCTCCTCATCAACTACAAAAGAAATGGACTTAATGTTGATCATTGGTGTGATCGAACCATAATTGGAAACTCTTGGTAACTCCATAAACACTTTTAATACTAGTCAACATTTCATCGTATCCTTAATAACTTCAATATGCCTTAGAAACACCCCTTTTCTCTCAATGCACACCATATCCATTCTTATGTACTTAATCATATACCTTCTCAAGGTCAGTTAATAATATGCATATAATTTATTATTATGGAAAAGTAATGTGCTTTTAAATGATGTAAAAATTGAATATGATGAAGGTCCATAATAACTGTAAGAAAATTAGAAGTCCTGCAAAAATTATGGTAAACAAAGAATAAGTGTTACTTCTGATGTTTCATATTAAGGAAGAAGAAAATGAGATATATAAAATAATTGAGACGAGATCTAGAAATTTTGATCAATTTTGTTGCATTAGATGTGAAGATAATTGCACAAAGGATTGTTGTAAATGTTTCTTTGAGAAATTAGTACATGGCATTTTTAAGAAAGGTTTATGTTGGAAGAATATAATGAATAATAACATGAAATAATAATTGCACAAAGGATTGTTGTAAATGTTTCTTTGAGAAATTATTAAATGAAATTCTTAAGAAAAGGCTTATTTTGGAAGAATATAATGAATTATAAAATGAAATATTGTATAGATTATTCTATGAAAATAAAATGAAATTAGATCTATAGAAGATACATAAAGTTAATACTTTAGTGAGATATCTATTGAAATTTATAGTGGATGCTATTCTGATTTAATTAATGAATACTTTCAATGTAATTTTGAAGACTAAGAGAATATCAAATGATTGAAAAAGAAATATTTAGTTACCAATATTGAAGAACAAAGGAGATGTTCATAATGTGCTAAATATAGAAGAATTAAACTTATGAGGTATGTAATGAAGCTAATAGAAAGTAATGAAACATCGGTATAACAGGATATGTTGGAGATCTAAAGGTAATTTTTATGAAAAAAAAAAATTTATCAATGTTGTTACTAATAGAAAAGTTGTTGATATCCAAGTTGAACATGACAAATATATGAATGTTAAGATAGATACATGGTACAATTAAGAAGGATAAATTGTAGAATGATTATATTAAATGAATTGTTCGAGTGACATCAATTGAATATATGGCAATTGAAAATTTATTTAGATGGTTTGGATATGTGTATTAAATGGTAAAAAATGCGACATTATCTGAGTAAATAAAATTAATTTGAAGGATTAAAAAGTAAGGGTAAAACTAGAGAATATGAATAAAAATTATTCAAAATAATTTGCAAAGAAACCACAATAATAAAGATTGGAAAATGGGGATTCATGAAGATGAGAACAAAAAGTTGGGATATGGCTAATGATGATGATGATGATAAATCTGTAGGCACTATACATCCTTAATTAAAAAATGATAACATTTAGATTTTGAAACTAAGTTATATTGATCAGTAGCATATTCTGAAATATTGTTGTCAAAGGCTAGTTTCACTTTTGGGTGGTCAGGAGAGCAAGGCATACCAGACCCCCCTTGCACACCTCCTAGGTAGGCGCCATTGTGAAGAAATTGCCTAGACGAGTAGGTTTTCTGAAGGAATAAGGCATTTTGGCAAACACCTTGCCTTGATGGAACGATGAGTACTAATACTACAAAATTTGAATGTGAGTCAATTTTGTTGATGATTCTACTTTGCATGATATGAAAAGACAATGAACGACTGGAGAAACAAAGACATGCATGAAGAAACAAGGACACACTTTAAGACACAAGTAAGCGACCTCAACAATTGGAAGAACAATGATGCACTTTGAGAGGTCGTAGGTAAATGTGATTCAAAACTTATAGTATTTGATGCTATCAAAAAAATATGATTGCATATAAAAAAAAAAAACTTGCCTTCCTTCAAAATAAGAAAATACACACTAAATAGAACACAACAACACTTAATCTTTAAAACATAGCACGACACAACTTAAATCTTATAATAGGTTTAGAAGAAAGATACAAATGGGGTGGAAATTTGCGGAGAGAAGAATTAGATAAGAAGCCCGAGACGAAATTATAGAGAAGAGAAAAAGAAGAAGAAGATAGCTCGCTAAATGGAGCAGCACTCGAAGGGCCAGCGGGACACAACCAAACGAACAGACAACGCCAATGGGGAAGGAATCGGGCAAGCAGAGGAAATGAAGGGCCAAAACAGGGGGGGGGGTTTAACTCGCAGGGGGGGGGGGTTTAACTCGGCCAGCAGCCATAATGAGCTAAAAAAGGCAACAGAACTCAGCAGCTAACATAACTAGGCATCTGCTTGATTTTGTAATTGCTAATATCCTATTAAAAAAAAAGATGAATATCTCATTACTTATAAGAATAGATGTAGTAAAAACACAGATTGATTATTTTTTATAAGAAAAATATCTCATTTATATTCTAAAATTTGTAAAGTTATTCCGAGTGAAATTTATTTACCCAACACTTATTAGTTTTGAACTTTCTGATGAATAGGTGGAATATAAAAAATAAAGTGATGTCCTAAGATTAGATGGAGACATTTAAAGAGACTAATAAATATATCTTTCAGAGTAAGATTCAAAATTTAAGATTTTGACGTTGCATGAGAAAACTAATGTTATGTGAAAAAAAGCTAGTGATATTAAGAATGTTGCAAATAATGTGCTTGAAAAATCAAAAGGAATTTCTAAAAGTAAAAATAGCTGTGGTGGAATAAAAATGAGCAAGAAAAGATAAAAATTAGAAAGCTTAGCTAAAAAAATTTGTTTAGATGTAAAAGCTCGAAAAATTGGGAAAGACCCGTAAGAAGTCTAAGAAAGCAATATGTGATGCAAATTATATCGTTTATATTCTAAAATTTATAAAGTTATTCCGAGTGAAAGTTTATTTACCCAACACTTATTAGTTTTGAACTTTCTGATGAATAGGTGGAATAGAAAAAATAAAGTGATGTCGTAAGATTAGATGGAGGCATTTAAAGAGACTAATAAATATATCTTTCAGAGTAAGATTCAAAATTTAAGATTTTGACATTGCATGGGAAAACTAATGTTATGTGAAAAAAAGCTAGTGATATTAAGAATGTTGTAAATAATGTGCTTGAAAAATCAAAAGGAATTTCTTAAAGTAAAAATAGTTGTGGTGGAATCAAAATGAGCAAGAAAAGATAAAAATTAGAAAGCTTAGCTAAACAAAATTTGTTTAGATGTAAAAGCTCGAAAAATTGGGAAAGACCCGTAAGAAGTCTAAGAAAGCAATATGTGATGCAAATAATTTTGTTTTTAATAATTTATGTAATATATTAGATACTAATGAGGGCAAACAATATATGTATAAGTTAGCCAAACAAAAATATAAGGGAAATAATGATTTAGTTCAAGTATAGTGCATCAATGATGATGATCCAGTAGTGCTTTTATTGGAAGAGGATATTCAACAAAAGTGGATGAGGCATTTTGACAAACTTTTCAATGAAGATTGTGAGAATATGATTGACTTTAGTAACTTTGATAACCTCAATGAAAATAGATAATTTTATTTTTATCATCATATTAATAAAATCAAAGTTAGAGAGGCTTAAAAGAAAATGAAGTTTGGAAAAATTATTGGACCTGATGATATTCTAATAAGGTTGCAAAAACTAGATTAGAAACTAAACAACAAGGGTTTAAGGTTCGACCGATCGAACTTGGGTCGAACCGGATGATATAATAAATAATAATGTTATTAAAAATTAATAAATTAACATAATAATGATATTATTATTCGAAACATTACACAAAATTTATATGAAATAAAAAAAGTATTAAACATAAAACTTACTTAATTAATTAAAAAATTATTTTAAAATCTCGTATAAGAGCAGAAAAACCCTAAACCTCATAATTCTAAGAATTTACACTCATAATAATATGATAATTTTAAACTTTGTATAATTTATATAACATTTTGTTTTCGGCCCTGATAGGAGCTCATATAGAGTGGTGGGGTTATGTGAGAATGCTTAAAGCTATTCTTATTCATATGTATTTAATACTCAATTAAGAGTTTTAATATATAATATTTATATTAATTTATTAAGTTTAATATTATATTTAATATTAAATTAATTTGTTTAATTATTTAAATAAATAAATTATTGAATCGACCTACTTTAGAAAACCATGACCGATTGAACCGGTGGTTTTGCCGGTTCAGCCTGGTTTGATACAAAACCAGTTCTTAAGGTTATTCGGGCCGACCATCTGACCGATTCACAGTTGAATTGGTCGAACTGACAGTATGGTTTTCAAAACTATGTATTCTAATAGAGGTGTGGAAATACTTAGAAGATGAAGGGATTTCTTGTTTTATGAAACTTTTCAATATTATTTTTAAGACAAAAGTAGCCAGATGAGTGGAGAAAGAGTATTAATTCTTGTTTTTAAAAATAAATGTGATACACAAGAATGTGCGAATTAAAAAAGAATTAAGTTAATGTGTCATACATTGAAATTATATGAGAGAGTTATGGAGCATAGGTTATAACGTGATGCTAATGTTTCTCAAAATCAATTTAGATTCATGCCAGGTAAGTCTATTATGGAAGCTATACATTTATTGAGACATTTGATCGAGAAATGTAGAGAGAATAAGTAGGATCTACATATGATAATTACTAATCTAGAGAAAGGATATGAAAAAGTTCCAAGAGAAGTGCTTTGGAGAGCTCTAGAAAAGAAAATAGTTAATAATGCTTATATTCAAGTCATTAAGGATATGTATGTAGGAGCTATTACTTGTATTCAAGCACAAAGTGTTTGACCAAGGATTTTTCTATTTTAGTTGGATTATATCAAGGACCATCTTTAAGCCTATAGCTTTTTGCTATAGTTATGGTATAAGACTAGAGAAGAAGTTGAAAGTAAATTATGTAGGTCAACTTTAGAGTCTAAAGGTTTTCGTTTGGGTAGATTTAAAACTGAATATATAGAGAGTAATTTTAGTCGTAATAGATTTAGTGAGGGTATTGCAACTTTTGGTGATCAAGTAATTAATTAGAGTACACGTTTTAGATATCTCGAGTATATTGTTCAAATTGATGGTGAAATAGATAGGGATATTATTAAGTAGAATTCAAATTGGATGGTTGAAGTGGAGGAATAGAATTCAAGTTGAATGGTTGAAGTGGAGGAATGCATCGGGTCTTTTGTGTGACAGAAAAGTAGACCTCAAACTTAAGGGAAAATTCTTAAAGTTGGTGGTGAGACCTGCAATGCTTTATGGCATAGAATGTTTGCCAATAAAAGGGAAGCATAAAATTAAGTGTTTCCGAGATGAGGATGCAACGATGGATGAGTTGCTTCACTCTTAGAGATAAAATGCGAAACGAGTATATACGTGAAAATGTTGGAGTAGCGCTAGTGGCCGATAAGATTAGAGGGAGTCACCACCTTAGATTGTTTGGGCACATAAAACGTAGGCCTTTCGTTGACCCGATTAGGAGAGTAGATATCTTAGATTTAACCTATGTTAAGAAAGGTAGAGGTAGACCTAAAAATACTTGGTTAGAAAATTTTAGAAATGACATTTTTTTATTAGATTTAAATGAGAATTTGACTCTTAACATGACACAATGGAGAAAAAAGATTAATGTAGCCGACCCGACGTAGTAGGATAAAGTTTTGTTGGCATTGGTTTATTGCAATGATTATCATTTTATATTCTTAATAAAGTAGCCGTCATGAATAAATTAATTTGTGAGGTGATATATCAATTTCCTCTTTAGCACCTTATTTTACTCGGCCAACTGCCTAAGTTGGGTTCTGGCTTGGCAACAAGATGAACTAGAGGGTGCATTGGACTTTTGGATACACTAATTCAAACAGATAAATGCTCAATTGCATGTGAAGTGATGCTTGAGTTTTCCATCTCCTTTTGTTTTAAAATCTTGTTGCGTCAGCAAGCTCATCCAAAATTTTGTATCTTGTACATTTCGTCCCATACTTGGACCAATTTTTATTCCGTTGCATAAATAAACTTTGATTTATTCAAAGCATCTATATTCTGTCTAGAAACACTTGCATTTTAATGCATGGGAAATGCAATTCATTTCCAGATTGCTTTTTTAGTGGAAACATAATATTTAAGTGATTGTGTTTTATATGTTTGACTAATGAGGCCTTGTTCCTATGCCAATATATATATATATATATATATATATATATATATACAGAATGTCAGTTTGGCTAGAAGGTTTGCTTTGGTTCCGTTGGGGCCACCACTACTGGCTTACAAGAGCAACTGCAAGGCTATGCTTAAAGTTGATCATGATGTTGTTCAACTAGTTGTTGATCGTCCTTATAAGGCTGGGGATGCAATTGTTGTGTGGTAATTTTCTTTGCTGTTACAACCAAAACTTGGCCCATCTGTGTACATGTTTAGTAGATGTGCTTAGTCTACATTCATATGCATGCATGTGGCGTTTTATTCAACATATATACTGGAAACTGTCATGTGTTTTAGGTGTGGCCCACAACCAAATTCAAGGCTGCTCCTAAATTATGGTTTTGTTGATGAAGATAATCCATATGATCGGCTAGTAATTGAGGTGAGAAAGAGTTGCGGTGTTGAAATAAAATGCTTAATTTTTGGTAGAGTACTTACAATTCAAGGCTTCTCCAGAATTCATTTTTCTTTTATTGTCATGCAGGCTTCCCTAAACACAGAAGATCCCCAATACCAAGAAAAACGAATTGTTGCTCAGAGAAATGGAAAGCTAGCAGTCCAAGTTTTTCATGTAAGCTAGTGTTGTGGTTTGTTTTTATTTACTAGGCAGTTATTAGCAAACATAACACGGAGCCTTCTTCTTTTTAGGTGTATGTAGGAAGAGAGAAAGAAGCTATTGCAGATATGCTTCCTTATTTGCGATTAGGTTATGTTTCAGATCCATCTGAGATGCACTCTGTTATATCTTCACAAGGGCCCATTTGTCATGTAAGTTAGTTTATTCTACATTTTATCATTACTCTGCAATTTGAATTTCTGTTTTCTACTGATTATGGAAAAAAATTATATTAAATATCTAAGTTAAAATTTTGACATGCAATGCAATATCTGGCTTGTTTTATCAGTGGTCAATGAATTTCAAGCTGTTTTATAAGTGCATCCGCTTATTACCTTCAGAAAATTCATTTATTTTAAGAAAACATTTTTTATTTTGAAAGTTTCAAATTTTCTTTAGCTGCAAATTCAATAGACTTTTTTTGGGACCAACATACACTCATTCATGACTAATGCAAAGTTCACTCAATAAAGAATGATAACTTAGAGTTGGTTAGTGTGCCGATTTATTTTCAATGACTTTGTGTGATGTGGACATCGACCAGAGGTTCAGACATGTGTATCGCCGTAGACAGCGCAGATCGACGGCCGAGATTCAGAGTTTATATTTCTAGTTATTTATGTATTTCTTTTATGCACTGTTCTTTTATTTCCTATTGTACCATTGGTCTAAGTTGAGTCATGAGTGTAGCCCTGAGGGCAAGAGAGTCATTGTATTTTCTTTTTTCTTTTGGGACCTATATATAGGCCATGTCATGTTATATTTTGGTTAATGATTTTGTGAATGAAAATTTCTATCTTATTTCTTCTTCTTCTTGCATGAGAGCTAGGGAAGGGAGATAGCTCGGGAGGAGCAAACCGCAAGACCCACCAATCGTTGGAAGAGTCCTCGATTCGTGGTTATTTCTACTATCATCGTGATCGTATTTCATCCACTGTTCTTCCTCGAGTACCCAAATAATTTCCCCAAGCCATTGTGCCGCCGCCCCTTGGAAGTTCACCGCCAGCCAAACCCAAAGCCACGGCCAGCCGCCGGCCGGTGAAGCCCCACCCGTCCAATCCCCTTTCCTCTTCCAATAGTTTCCACCTTGAAATTTGACTTTTCAAATTTCAAAAACTTTCCTAATTTGGATTTTCAATTTAGGAAAGTTTTCATGACGAATTCCAATTTAACTTAAAATTAAATCGGAATCGTTGTAACTTTATTTCCACGTCATCACTCTAAATTTGGAAGCTAATTCATCTTGATTTCCCTCCCTCTCTCCTTAGCATACCGCCGGCCTCACTATGGGAAGAGCCCCATTAATGCAATCATTAATGCATTAATGACACCTTGATTTGAGACTAATTTCAAATCCTTCTCCCTCCTAATTTCCTTCCCAAAACTGAAATCCACATCAGTTTATTTGTTTAAATTTCTCCCTCTCCCCTCCACATGACCCGCCGGCCACTACCTATTAATGGGCTCCATTAAGGGCTCATTAATCCCTCCTTGATTGCACTTGAAATTTGAGAGGAGTTTCAAATTTTCCCTCCAAAGTTACTAAAACTGAAATCAATTCAGATTTTAGTAAATAATCCATCTCCACATCTACACCTAAATCCCTCTCTCTCAGTCCACCCGCCCCCTCTCTCTCTCCCCCTTGGCCGAACACCTACTCCCCTTGGGAATCCCGCCGATTCTTCTTTCTCCCTATGCGTCTCCTTCTCCAAGCGCTAAGTCTACTCCTCGCCATCTCCTAATTCTCTCTTCGTGGAAGAGTTCCTCAATCAAGCAGGTATGGCGGACCCGGAGCTTGAGTGGGGTCTTGTATTCGACGCCAACGGAGAAGTCGATCTTCTTAGATCTCCGTGTTTCGACGTTGGATTTGAAGACGACGCAACCCTTGAAGATTACTTGGAGAGAGTTACTCCAATCATTGCGAGCGTCATCGACCGCCGATTCTCAAATGCTGATTGGACCGTCAACAATCAATCACCCTCATCCTCCTCCACACCGGCAATCTCACCGTGGATCAAGACCGTTGGTGTGATCACCATCTTCGTGGCATCCTTGAGTATACTAAAAGCCTTCTCCCGCTAAACCCGACATTGAGTGTAAGTGAGCAAGGTACTCGTAGTGAAATTTCTTGATATTAACCGTTGGATTCTGTATTATTTTCCGCTGTTTTATAAGTGCATCCGCTTATTACCTTCAGAAAATTCATTTATTTTAAGAAAACATTTTTTATTTTGAATGTTTCAAATTTTCTTTAGCTGCAAATTCAATAGACTTTTTTTGGGACCAACATACACTCATTCATGACTTATGCAAAGCTCACTCAATAAAGAATGATAACTTAGAGTTGGTTAGTGTGCCGATTTATTTTCAATGACTTTGTGGTTTAACTCAATATAAAAACTTGGGAATTTAATGTATGTGGCATCAGTGAGCCTCTCGCTTTTTTTAGCACTAAGAGTGCAAAGTATCTTTAAAGAAAATGGTAATGGCTTTGATGTTGTATGCTTCAAACTCACAGGCTCCATTTCTCATAGGAAAGGATGGTGTAGAAGGATATTTGGACCTGGCCGAATAGTGATTTAAAGGATAGCGCTGTTGATCATGATGACAAGAATGATACATAGCTCAACCTCATTCATTTCAGATAGTAGGTTGCCCATTCATGAAATTTTGCATCTCTGTGTCATACTACCTTTTACAAACTATTTGATACAACTACCAGGCAAGCATTGAGAGCTTAGTTTTATGATAGAACATCTATATGTGTTTGTGGAATGCAGGAAATTCAGCCTAGGAATATCCTTATGCATATTACGGGAAATATCATAGGTCAATTGTTCATGGAAAGCTTAATTATCTGGTTTTTTCTTATATGATTCCTAATTATACTTTTAAATGTTAAATATCGACTGACTGGAAATTCTTTTCCTTTGTCTAAAGGTTATACTTATCCTTCCTCGAGTTGTTTATGTTCTACCTGTCATATGATTTTCTATCTGATGAGACTTCCCATTTGAGCATTTTTGGTTTTGTATGTTTTTTGTGTGCATTAAGTTGTGAATATAGATATTTTGATTTGAAGTTTACTCTTTTTATTTTATTTCATATATATTTTTAATTTATTTTTATGTAACATTACTATGATATTGATCCTATGAGAGTGGGATATGTTCTGTAATAATTTTTCTCCCTTACGCTTTTGACATGAATCATTTAATACAATATGTTAATTCTAGGGAGTTTTTTGGAAGCGACATATTGTATGGCCTAAATATAGCAAGAAGTGTGCGAGGTCCGCAACACTAATGCCCGGGTGCAATGCTAAATAAACTGTCACATCCCATTTTGACCCTCTTCAATTAACTTGGAGTGTAACAGAGTAGGAAAATCTGAACAGATATATTTCTTACTAACACTTATTCTGAACATTTATCATGATCAAGTGAGGAGAAAATAACCTTTCCAGACTATCACAAAAACTAATTTGCCTATTTTAGAATTATATCTCAATTTCATATTCAGATGCATGTTCATAATACATCATAATAAAATATAGAGTTTTACTAAAACTTTAAATAAAGTTAACATACACAAAAGCTTAATGTATGGCTTACTGGTCCGTCTTCTATGTACACTCAAAATTTATATACACCATGCAGTCACACTCCTGCCTAGAGCCCCGTTAGCTCCTTTTACCTATAATACATCCACTGATGACCTAAATGCTTAATGAAATACACAATCATAGTACAAGAACAAGAAACCAAGAATTTGCATATTAATATCCAAATTACTATGAGAATCATAATTAGTGTAAATAATTAATGCAAATAACTGTGCAATTCCCTGTGTGAACTCTTCGAGCTCTATGTTTCTTATTCTGTATAAATCATATGATCTATATGCTTTACCACACTTATTGCTCCCTCCTTCAAAGTTGGATCTAAATCTCCAACTTTTTAAAAGAAAGAGAGAGAGAGAGAGAGTTGGGTACCTCCTGTCCAGTCCCTGCTAAGGCTTATCTTGTCAGGTATTTCGACTTTACTGGTGCGGGTCTATCTCCCATAATATGAATTTTCTCCTTAACCTTCAGACTAGCATATCATACATCTAAATTATCATGTTACAACATACAAAACATGGTATATATCAAATAACTCGATATACCAAATAACTTAATTTAACAAGTGATCATAACTTGATAATATGGATAATTTGAGAAATAATGCTACTAAAATTATATTAAAAGTTATATCATTTCGTTTACTTATATACTAGAGATTCGGTATCTCATCTCGTTTTCAAGAGTAGTAGAATGTATTTGATCTACTAGAATACCCCGACCTTTTTTTTATAGTCAATATAAAGAATCATGAAATTCATAAATGAATTCTTACTCTTAAAAATCAAGTTAGGCTAAACCCCAAAAATAGAATTCTTTACCTTAATTAAACTTCTCATTTACGAAATTTTCCTTACCTCTCCCTGGACTCCTTCCTCTCATTCTCCTTATTTTTCCTTTATAGATTTCAGCGTTAGCCGTAATAGCTCTTAAGGCCTCCCGCACTTCCTCTATGTCTTGCGGTTTGCACTCAGCAGATAGCTGCTTCAATTTCCAAAGAGAGTAGTTACGAGTGCGAAGAATGTATAGGAAGTTGATTAACAGTTAACTAATATGTATATGAGTTATAATATGACACTAATGCATTCCCAGTCGTGTGATCACCACACTCTCTAGATCATGTCACGACCCGGCCCGGTTAGCTCGCAAGTGCGAGCCGGTAACAGAGGTCGGACATGATGGAATAAACCTTCATAGCATATCATCAAAAGATCTAACATAAACCAAACATTTTTAACTATAAAATGAAAGAGCAACTAAACTAAATCCAATTAAAATTTTCACTTTTCATTCATCTTTCAAAAGAAATATGTACATAGAGAGTTCTTCCAAAAGAAGGGATCCAAACAAATCTATCTCTCACAAAAAAATCTACACATACAAACTTCTATCATCAAAATAACAAAACTCAAAAGAACCTGCCTCCCGTCGTCTCCTTACGACGGTAAGTGCGCGGTGGTTGGTCTGCCATTATCTATTCGCATGATCTCCTGAAAATTTCCCACAACATGAGTGAGTTATAACTCAATA